GCACCCCAGGTGTCTGCCTTACGACATCTTGCCCACCGCTCTGCCCACTACCTGAATCAACTGCACGGGCCGGGCCTCCTGGGGTCCAGGCCAGCCTGGTGGAGAGGACACACGGGGGCCACCCTGCCCCCAGGCCTCTCCCCACGGTCTCTCATGCCCAGTTGTCTGCCTGGCCCCACCAAGCACGGGCCATCCTTAGGAAACAAGCTCACGGTGGCTTACAGCCCAGCTCCTGGCCCCGGCGTGCACCTCCTCAGCTCCCTAACAACCGTGGCTCCCCAGTGCCCTGAACAAAAGTCCCCTTATCCCAGCATGGCGTTCGAGACCTGTACGGTGGGCCAAGCCTGCCCTCTGTGACGATTCCCGTCCCTCCAGGTCCCACCCCTCAGGCCCCCACGCTGCTGCCATGTTCTGCCCCCGTGCGGTGCCCCTGCCTCGTCCCCACGGCAGAGCCTGGGAGAGGCCTCTATCACCAGACACGACCCGCTCTCCATCCCTCTTCCTGCCTTTGGTACCCAGCCTGCTGACCGGAAGCAGAAGGCACCCCCCCCAGCGTGGCCATCTGCTGCCCTCTCGGCTGCAGCGGCTCCCCTGGAAAGCGGGGGGGTGAGGCTGTAGATGGGGGTGGTTCCAGCCCTCGCGCCTCTGAGGGGCACGGAGAGAAGCGTGCCGGGAGCTCCCTCTTTCCCGATGGTCACTGGACACAAACATCCTGAGTGACCTGGTCAGCCCCAGGCAGGGGCCTGGGATCCGGACTTTGCCCAGCTGATAAGCGCAGGCCAGGTGAGAATGACTGCGCCGGCCAGAGGAAGCGTCTCTGTCCTTGTGTCTTGCCAGCCGCAGGCCCTGTGGATGTGCCCTTTGACCCCGGGACCTGAGTGGGGCTGCCCATCTGCACATGTGTTGGGAGAGGGGAGGGCCTCAGAAATGCCACGGTCACCTCTTCACCCAGTGTGTATACAAGGAGCAGACGCCTCCACTGCCCCCCAGCTGCCCAGCCTGTACGGCAGCCGAGGGGGTTAGCAGCAGCAGGAAGGTCAGGCCCGGCGGTGCTTGCTTCCCAGGCCAAGAACCTGTTGGAGACCATTTCTAGCTGGCGGAGGAGGACCAGAGCACAGCAGGTGTTTCCGAGTCTCCGGCCATAGTGGATGCTTTGCTGGGCAGAGCACCTCCAGGCAGCCTTGGGGATGCAAACTAAAGCACTTGGGAGATTCCGGTCACACAGTTGTGGGGACTAAGGAAAGCGACCAAAAGTAGGTGAAACGACAAAGCCCAGTGCTGGGGCTGCTCCGAGGAAATGGGAAGCATTGCAGGGGAGAGCGCCAACGGGTTTATCCTTCCAGAAAGCAGCCTGGCAGCTCTGAAGCAGCATGCTGCCTTTGAAACAACACACCCACTGCAGGTTTAAAACAGCTGCAGTGAAACAACCGCGAAGGGGGAAATATAATTAATGTAAAGGAGTGGATAGCACTATTTAGACTGGAACGTTGCTCAGCAGGACGGGACCGCCCCCTGCATTGCCGCTGCGTCAGGCCCATGGGCTGTTTCCCAGCTGCTGGAAGGAGTCTCTACCCCAGGACAGGATGTTGGTATTGGTGCTGGCCAATCTGTCCAGTGGCCGTGCTCAGGGTCACTTGGTCCGTGTAACTGGGAGCGGTGTGTGGAGCGGTACTGATGAGAGAAGAGTGCGAGGTGGTGACCTCAGAGCAGGTTTTGAGAGGAGGAGGAGTTTGCAGGTGGACACAGGACAGTGGGAAGGGCCTTTGGGGCAGAGGGAACGGGCTGGGCCAGCGCACAGCCTTCTGAAAGCAGACAAGGAGAGTGAGGCTCACCGGACTCAGACAGCCAGGGACCAGCAGGGGTGGGGCTGGCAGTGCACACGCCCCTCGATCTGGTCTCCTCTGTGCTCAGCCCCGTGCTGAGTGATTGCGTGTCCCATCTGGCTCAGGCCTTGACCCCGCCCTAGGGGCTCCTCTAAGGGCAGTTAGGAAGGCCTCGCAGCGGAGGTGGTGCTGGGGCTCCTTCTTGCACCTTCGCGCTGCCTCGCCTCCGTGTCCCACGCTGCACACACGTCCTGACCTGGGGTGAGTGGTGGCAGCGAGGTGGGACAGAGCCAGGCTGGCCCTGGGGCTCACACCTGCCCCTGGCAGGCTGGGCTGAGGGCTGTGGGCTTGGGGGTTGGCAGGCCTGGGTTTGCGTACCAGATTGTCCACTTGGCAGCCAGGGGACCTGGGGCCTGTGGCTTCGCTCTGAGCCTTAGTGACCTCGTCCGTCTAGAGGGCTCACGCCCAGCTTCCCCTGGGGCTCCAGCCCCGGGCCCGTCCCACTCCAGGAAGAGCCGGCACCCACTTGCACCCCGGGGCAGCCCTGCGCACACAAAGGGCAGCCTGTGCCCCTGCTGCACACTCACGCGCCGTGGACATGTGAGCCTGCCAACCGGGCTCCTCAGAGAGCAGCAGGGTGGGTGGCAGGCAGGGTGCAGCCCCCCTCCCCACCACTGCCCTGCGCCCTCCATCGAGCGGGCGGAGCTGGGACGGGGCTGCTGCTTTGCACCGTTTGCCATTCTTCACAGCTGTGCAGACTTTGTGACCTGCTTGCAAATCCCTTTCCTGCCCGTTCCCTGAGAAATGGTCTCCTTGGCTCAGGTGAGAGACGAACGTGGGTTGGAACTCCAGCTCTTGACTGTCTCCCTGACCCCCACCCCTTTGACTCCCTCTGCTCCAGCCACACCGGCCTCCTCGCTGTCTTGATGTCACCTCCTCAGAGAGGCCTGCCCTGACCGCCTCCGTTTGTTCATGGTGCTCATCACCACCCATACCCCTGTTCCTCCCTGGATTTGCAGACCGTTGGTTACAGATGGAACACAAGCTCCACGAGGGACGTCTTCGTGCTGTGTTCCAGCACCCTAGTGCCTGGTACACTTAGTAGACACTTAGGAAAGGGCAGTAGGTATTGCCACAGAAGCAGATCTGGGCTTCGTGGGCCAGGCTGTGTAGGGGAGGTGGTGAGCTCCCTGTCCCAGGAAGCGTGCAAGCAGGGTTTCTTCAGGGTGCAAGGCCTCGTGCAGTTTGGATGGGCCGGAGGCTCCCGTGACGGTCAGAGCTGGGCTCCTGTAGGTTCGTGGTGCAGGGCCCCTCCAGGATTTGCATCATGGCCTCACCGAATAAACACGCAGGAGAATAAAAGGCTGCCCCACATCTGCCTTCAGAGGGAGGTTTGAAGGCAAGCCAGGGAGGGGGGAGGAGGTTTCAGGTTTCCTGTTGGGTCCTGATAGGATCAGGGCAGGCTAGGAGGAAGGAGAGGAAAAGGAGCCAGGCTTGGGGGCGGGCAGGTGGGCCCACTGAGGCCGAGCCCGAGCCTCCGGTCTCCCGATGTGCAGTGTGCAGACAGTGCATGCAGGAGCCACGTGGGCCTTGAGTCTTCCCTCATGCGGGAAGCCGAGTGCTCAGCTCACCCAAGGAGGGGCCAGCCTTTCAGACCCGCTGCGGGGGCGCTTCCTTAAACTTCCTTAAATTGTGCACTCTGCGGACCTCTCTTGCCTCCTGGAATCCCCTACTCCGAGGCCAGGAGTGAAGGCTCAGAGAAGGGGAGTGAGAAGGGAGAAGGGCAGAAGGATGGGTCAGGAGTTGGGAGGACTGGACCCCTCGGGGCGGTCGGCCCTGGCCCCTGTCCTTCAGAGTCGCAGGCGAGTGTCTGCGTGTGGGCCTTGGAATTCAGGTCTCAGTGTCTTCCAGTCTCAAGGTACTGAGGTGAGGGAGGAGCCTTCCCAACAGCAGTGTCTTGTTTGTTTTTTGGGGGTGAGGGAGGGTGTGAGAGCCACCGGCTGAGGAGAGACGGAGCTGAGGATGCTAGAGAATTCTGTTGCCCTTGGCACCCCCTGCAAGGCCATGGAAGGACCCGGACAAAGGAGGATGGGGGGGCGTTACCTCGGCTAGCCTCCTGGAGAGGGAGGGCCATCCGGGCCGGGGGTTCTCCAGTACCCCAAACACCCTCGGAGGCTGCAGGAGACCAGGAGAGGGTACCGGGGTGGGCTCGGCCACAGTTGGAGGCTGGCCTGAGCCCAGGGTCTGCTTGGCCACAAAAGCCTGAGCTGGCAACCTGGGCTGCTGGCCAGGCTATGTTCATGTGTGTGTGTGGAACTCTGACCTTACACAGAAGGGGAGATAGGCCCAGGTACCCCTCCAAAGACCCCCAGAGCCTGTCACCCTACCACTTCCTCACCTTCTGTCCCAGGGATTGGGCTGCCTCTTGGACTCCCCGGCCCTACAGTGAATAAGTGAGTGAATCAGGCTTCACCCAGAGACTGCTAGTCGGGTGGGGGAGGGGGTGAGATCTTCACCGACCCCCATCCCAGACCCAGGCCCTTCTGCAAAGGGATGTCTGTGTGGGGCGTCAGCTCTGGTTGTTACTGGCTGGGCACTTTGGGGTAGGGGTTTCCCTTCCTCAGTTTCCCAACAGTGACCTGTTGTCAGGGGTCCATGCGGTTGGGTGCGGCAGAGGCTTGGATGCGGAGTTGGGGCACCCCTGGCCGGCCCCACGCCCGCGCCGCCGCGCTCTCGGAGGTGGTGGGAGCAGGGGACGTGATTGCCAGTAACCCCTGCGGACGTCGGCGCCGAGCGGGTTGAGGGACGGCGTCCGCGAGTAACCCCGGCCCCATCCGGCCCTGCGGGGCTCAAACCGAGCCGCGCGCGGCGGGGGTGGGGCGGGGCCCCAGGAGGCGGTGGCGCGGCCGCTGATTGGCCGCGCGCGCTCACCCCATGCCCGGGCCGCGGCCCCGGGAGGGCGTGGCCACTCGGCGGGGCGGGGCCATTCGGCGGGGGCGGAGCCAGCGGGGGCGGGACCGGCGGCGCGCTCGGCAGCTTTAAAGCGCGGGCGGCCACGCAGGTGAAGTCAGCGCGCGGACACCGGCAGGCCAGCGGCCTGGACCCCCCGAAGGGCGGCGGGCGCAGGCCGCGGAGCCATGGACTGCACGTTCGAAGGTATTTTTTGGAGGACCCCACCTCTTTATTACAGTTTCCATTTGCATCGCGGGGTCCTCATCCCCGGTGCCCTGAGGGGAGGTGTACACGCTCCCGGCTCTCAGGGGAGCTGGCGGACCCCCCCCAACCTCAGTAGTCACCCCCACCCCCACGTCTGGCGTGAGAGGGTGGCCTTCCCACATCCTCTGCTCCGCAGGGAGGAGGGCCGGTTGTCCTTCTGTCTCCTGGGGCTCCTAGTTTGGAGGGCTTCTTGAGCTTGCTAGACAGTGGCCCCCTGGGTTCAGCCAGTTTTTCTTTCTGGGCCTCAGTTTCCCCATCTGTCAAAGGGGCTCATGAAGCCTGGGGAGCGAGCAGGTCCTGAAGGTGAAAGGCCTCTATGCCCCATGACCTGCATAAACCTGGAGGGCCCGCCCCGTGTTTCTGTTTGAGGACCAGGAGACTGAGCCTGGCACCCCTGTGTCGCTCTCCTGGAGGCCGTAGGGAGGGTCCCCTGCAGTCACTCTCCTGCCTCGCACCTGTCGGTAGGAGGGGCTCAGGCGATGTTTGCGCTCTTCTCCGTGCGGCCATCCTGCCACAAAGGGCCTCATCTGTCTTGTGTAGATGAGGAAACCGAGGCCCAGTGAGAGGAAGCCCAGGCTGGGGACCTGGGGTACACCTCGGGCTCCCAGGGCTTGCGCATGGATCCTGCAGAGCACTCTGACCCAGTGGGTGGCTCCCCCAGTGGGTTAGAGGGCCCTAGGCTGACCCAGCCAGGCTGCTGATCGCCAGCTGGGGAAGAGGGCCTGTGGCCAGGCTGGGGCCGCGGCAGGCAGTATGTCCAGTCTGTATGAGGAGGAAAGAGGACAGACGGCGTTTGCTTTTGTCGAGGGGAAACTGAAGCCTGAATGGCCGGTCCCGAGGCTGCTTGGCTGCAGACGGGGTCTGGGCTTGTGCCCAGAACACACAGGGACACTCTGGTTGGCACACACTTGGCCAGCGGCTGGCTCTGCCCGAAGCCTCGGTCTGTCCCACAGAGGAGTGGGCTGGCGAAGGCAGCTCTGAAGTCGGGAGTTGTGGGCCCAGGCCTCAGTTCTGCCTTCGCCTGGTCCTGGGGCAGGTCGGTGGGCCTCAGGGGGGCGCTGGGCTCGTCCAGTGTTGCAAGGCCATTTGACGCACCTGGCAGAGCTCCAGATGTCACAGGTGTCTGTGAGTGGGGGCTCCTGGGGGTGGCTTTTTGTTTCCGTGGCGTTGGTCCCACAGGTACACTGTGGGGTGGGGGTGGGGGGGAGCGTGCAAATCTGTGACACCTGCCCCGCTGTTGCTCACACAGCTTCTCCTCCTTACCGCAGACATGCTTCAGCTCATCAACAACCAAGACAGCGACTTCCCGGGCCTGTTCGACCCGCCCTACGCTGGGGGCGGAGCAGGGGGCACAGAGCCCACCAGTCCATATGCCAGCTCCCCAGGCAGCCTGTCCCCACCTCCTTCCACGATGAGCTCCCCACTTGAAGGCTTCCTGGGGGGGACCAAGGCGACAACCCCACCCTTGTCCCCTCCCCAGCCTGCACCCACCCCCCTGAAGATGTACCCTTCCGTGCCTGCCTTCTCCGTGGGGCCTGCTATCAAGGAGGAACCAGCGCCCCAGACCACCCTCCAGCCGCTGCCGGGGGCCCTCCTGCCCCAGCGTCTTCCGGCCCCAGCCCCACCGCAGTTCAGCTCTGCCCCTGTGTTGGGCTATCCCAGCCCTCCTAGAGGCTTCTGCACAGGTAAGGGGGGCGTGTGGAGGGAGGGGCACAGCAGGAGCACCAGGAGGAGGGTCTGCTGTGGTCTCAGTAGAGGAATTTGCAGGCTCTAGAAGTCGGGTCCCTGCTGTGCTGCTGGAGGTGCCCCTGTCACCAGCAGCTCTCAGGAAGCACCGCTTCCCAGCCTCCCAGCGTCCGCAGCAGATAGGTGCTGGGCTGGGAAGCGAGCAGGCTTGCATCAGAGCCCCAGGCAGGGACTGTCCTGATAGTAACCTGAGGCCATTCAAGGTCACAGGGTGATAAGTACCTGCGGGGCGGGTTGGAAGTGGGTTAGGGCAGCCTGTGTCTGCAGCTCCAGCCTTTATCTCTGCAGGGACCCCCCCGGGGAGCACCGCGCAGTCGCTGCCTGGCCTGCCACTGGCTGCTCTGCCAGGGGTCCCGCCCGTCTCCTTGCACAACCAGGTCCAGAGTGCGGCTCCCCAGCAGCTGTTGACGGCCACAGCCACCCCGACGGTGGCCCCTGGAACAACCACTGTGACCTCACAGGTCCAGCAGGTCCCGGTGAGGGGGTCTGGCCCGGCCTCAGGGAGGTGGTGGCCCCGGCCCCAGGCCCACAGCCCACAGCTGAGCCCCCTCCCGTCCTTAGGTCCTGCTGCAGCCCCACTTCATCAAGGCAGACTCGCTGCTCCTGACGACTGTGAAAACAGACGTGGGAGCCCCCATGAAGGCGGCAGGCATCAGCTCCCTGGCCCCTGGCATGGCTGTGCAGGCAGCGCCCTTGCAGGTGGGCGGCTTGGGCAGGGCGGGGGGGCGGGGGTGTTGTGTGCATGCATGTCCACCTGCTAACCGTGCCTGGCCCCGCAGACCCTGGTGAGTGGCGGAACCATCCTGGCGACTGTGCCGCTGGTAGTGGATGCTGACAAGCTGCCCATCAACCGGCTGGCAGCTGGTGTCAAGGCCCCGGGCTCGGCCCAGAGCCGAGGTGAGAAGCGTACGGCCCACAATGCCATTGAGAAACGCTACCGCTCTTCCATCAATGACAAGATCGTCGAGCTCAAGGACCTGGTGGTGGGCACAGAGGCCAAGGTGCGGGCAGAGGCCCCGATGGGGTGGCCCTGGGGAAGGAGGCACCTGGGGGGAAGAGGAGGCACCTGGGGGGAAGAGGAGGATGGGGCTGAACCTGGACAGACAGGCCTGGGGCTCCAGACTCCTCGGGCCTGGCGGCTCTGTTTAGCTGAGCTTCATGGAGGCCCCGTGCGGTGTGGGCTCTTTTAGGTGCTGGGGATTCAGCAGTGAACAGACAGACTGCTGTTCCGTTGAGCAGCTGACGTTCTGGCAGGGTGTCGGGGCGCCAGCAGACAG